AGACCAATATAACCTTTCCATCATCAGCTTTTTGGTCTCTCTCCCCCCCAGCATCTCTTCTCAGGTGGGTCCATTGTGTCTATTAAATAGACCTCGGGTCCAGCATCCCGAATTTGAAGCTTTCATCCCAGTTTGAACTTCCATGCTGAATTTTCCCATGGTGGCAGGCCTTTCTTTTAGGATTAGCTCGGTGTATCTCGTGTGCCTATCAGCAGCCGCTGTACAAGCTCCTGCAGTACCTGATGGTCCTTCAGATATTCCCCAGCAATTGAGCCTAATAGGTTCCGATGATGATGATAGTTTTTAACCTAAGACTAAAACCCCTAAGGATCCTTTAGAGGCAGGAAAGTTGCTTTCCTGGTTTGGCAGAAGTGGCTGGGCTCGCCAGTATTAGTAACAAATAACACGATTGCTCGGTGTCACCGTTAACGCTCCCTGGTGCAGATGGAGGCAGGGGTAGAAGAAAAACCGATGATAATGGGATGAAATGGTTCAGAGTGGGGTTTTAGTCTGACATTAATGCATTAGGGATCCAACTCCTAGGGGAGCTAATGGAAGTGCTGCTATGATTAGAAGTGCCTCTGCAGACGAATAAGACAGCGCTGGTAATGGAGTGAGGCAGCGCAGGCAGACAGCGGGCAACAGGAGAGCTCATATTTGTAGGCGAAGCCTCTCCTGACATCTCTTGGGTGTCTTCTCGTCCATCTTTCTGTCCGCAGAGGCGCAGTTACCTCGCTGCCATGTTTTCTCCTCCATTCATCCTGTTGCTGGACCACTGCCTTCCCTCCCAGCCTTTTCGACTCACTGGTGGCGTATTTGGGCTGTGGGGTTGGTCATGTTGTATTCAGAGGAAGACGTGCTGCACCCCAAGAGCATACGGGGTAGGAAATGGGCCGATGGAGGATGCGTTTTTGGCCGAAGCAGCTCAGCTGCTGTCAGTCTGTAGGGCGGGGTTTGATGCTCTGCTGCAGTCTCAGATGCAGCACGAGGAGACCCAAACCACCTCTAGAAGGTTGGAAATAACTTTGTTATTTCCAGATATGCACCAGATATTCCCCAGCTCAGCCTGAGCTCAGCCTTTTTTTTTTTTTTTTTTTTTTTTTTTATCTCATCTTCACTGAGTCAGCCTTTCCCCGGGGACCATCCCTGTCACCCACAGACGCTCCGGGGCAGGTCCCACGGCGAGCAAACCAGCTCTAGTGTGTCTGAACTGCCTGATTTGCAGAGGTCGAAGGGCAAAGTTAATTGCAGGGGTGATGGCTGCGAGCTGTTTCCGATGGCGAACTTTAGACTGTGATTTCCAAACTGGGGAAAATGGAAGTGATGCTCTGACCGAGACATTATCGATGCACTAATAAAACCTCTACAAAACAAAAAGTCTCGGTAAAGCAAACGAGACATTTGGAAAACTCAAAGGGCTTGGCTAAAAAGAGATTATCTGTGGCTGCCACGGTAGGGCAAGAGGAGGTGAAAGCCTAGTCGGGCTCATTGCTATCCTCCCAGCTGCTCCGGACACCTCCCCGGGTGGTTGGGTGCATTAGCTATAAACCAAGAAGAAACCAGCTCCTTTGGGAGGTGATAAGAGCAGATGAAACAGTAAATCATTAAGCCGGCGCAGCGCACGGCATTGTAATAAACAGGGGGCAAAGTGCATTAATTACAAGCCAGCTGGGACGTGGGTGCGTTATGGAATGTGCGGGTTAGACGACGAGGGAACGGGGCAAAGTCACGCTTCGCGGGGATGCCCCGTAATGGTGGTTGTTGCTACCAACCCCAACATCAGCCGGGCCTTCGGCTTTTTCTTTTCCCCAGTGTGGCTGATTGCAGGCAACGTCTCACTGCATTTGGAGCTGTAGGGATAAACGAGAGCTGTTTCCTCCCCGGTGCTCATGCTTGAAAACATAATTGGTTTGGGTTTGTTGTTTGTTTTTTTTTTTTTTTCCCCCTGTGCTCAACTTTTGCATGTTTTCAGAGGAGGAAGAGAAGCAGGAAAAATAGTTTTGCTGGTCACGCGTCCCAGGCGAGCTGCCCTGCTTCCTGCTAGTGAGCAATCGGGCGGGTACGGATGGCAGCAACCCCGAAATGGTCCCCGTCGCCCTGCTGAGCTCACCCCATCTCACATAAGCGCTGTAAGGCGGACGTGCTGGCCAGCCAGGTTGTGCCTACTCCATTTAAGTGACCTTTAAGTTTCCCCGCTTTGATTGCTGAGTGTATCCCTTAGGTCATCCCATTCTGACTGCATCGATCTCCTGTGGGAAATCAACAGGTCCCATTAAATATCTGCCTTTAAAATGCAGCTGCTGGAGCTAAGTCATGGAGTTATATATTTGACTATATATTGCTGTGGTAGCGTTATAGCATTAATACGGCGTGATACGGCTGCAGTACTTCTTGTCGTGCTATTCCGGGATTGGTTTAGTTCTGCTTTCATTCATTATCTTGATATTATACCGTTGCATGTATGTGATGGGATTCTCCGCTCACCCAGAAAATACAGATTTTTCAGCCATCTCCCTGGCTCAGGTATGCTGCTCCCTTAATCACAGGGATACAGGTGGATGCTCTGATTCCCTGGTTGTCTCTTTCAAAGGACTAAAGAGGCTATTGTATTAACCCACTGGACTGTGCTGGCATTGCTGGTAAACGGCGTCTTGCTTTGATTTTGTGTTTAATTACCCACTGTCAATAAATCTCTCCTTTTAAGTCGTGAAATAAGGCAGAGCCTTGCAGTGCTGCTAGCAGCTGCCTGCAAAGCTGCTAGCCAATACAGTAGAAAATCATATTTCCATGCACAGCTTGTCCACCCTGAGATTAAATCCCCTCCTGAATTCGTTTGCGTGAAACCCACCATGATAGCTCATAGGTATTTGGCGACGGCAGGACTGCGGGACCAGCCTGGCGTAAGCCGCGAGGGCATCAGCGATGTCTGCTGCTGCACGTAGCTGCATGCACCTGGGAGATGTTTGCACAAGGAGGCAATGTTTGCTTACCTTGAGGTGTTGGATTAGCCGGTTTGGTGAAACCAGTTCAAATCGGGCAGGTCGGCTACAGGGCTTTAGCAGGTCTGATCTAACCCAGTGGATTTTCCTGCCTGGGGACAGCTGCCGCTGGGAGATGGTATCTGCACGCAGCCGAGCTCCGGGGGCACAGACTTGGTGGGGTGAGACAAGGTGTCCCTGGGGCAAAGCGACCTGAAATCAGATGTTAATAAAGCCAAAGCAACCGCTCTCCCCTCTCAAAGGCTGGCAGCAGCAAGCTATGTCCAACTTTGCGCCCAAATTACCCTTTATGCAGAAGGCAGGCAATAGCAGAATAAGAACATCTTTTGGTTTATGTTTCCAGCAAGTGGGGACTGAAGCCCAAAATGCAGCTGGGGAAAGCAGTTTAAAGATAAACGGGTCGTGGGCATCTGGGACGGGGAGGTCAGACCCAGCACCAACTACGCAGCCCATTGCTATGTGGACGGACGGCATCCGTTGCCACGAGAGAGCCGATCTCTGCCCAACGTTAAGCGCAGCTTGGTGCAGAGAGGAGCGTTATTAAACGGAGAAGGAAGCCCTGGGCACCAGCAGCACAGCCTTTGCTATTAATTAAAAAAATCCTAATTGACCAGCCTGACACAACCGACCTGTGATCGTGCCAAGGCAGGCCCCCGAACATATGCTCGAGCCCACATGAAAAAGCTAATCGTTTCTCCACCTAATTAAGCAAACCAGCAAATGGCAAACAGGAGCCGGCTGGGTTTTTATTGCTGTAACTCTCCTGGGAAACGGGTCCCCCAGCTCTCCTACAAAACGCGCACGTGTGTGCTCCGGCACGAAGGGGCACGGAGGCTCGAGCAGCTCAGCCGGGATCCCCGGGCTCTGCATGGTGCAAATCCTGGCTTAGCGATGCTCCGGAGAGAGAAGGAGGGGTGGGAGGAGGTGGTGATGCAGGGAACGAGTTGGTTTCTTTGCCCCGAACCAAAATGTCTTCTTTCCAGCAGCTTTTGGGGTATTTTTTCAGCTATATTTTTAACAAAATGCTTTGGCTTTGCGAAATAGGTGTGGGGTGGGTTTTTTTCCCCCTCCACAGGCTGAAAAAATTCCAGGAATTAATTTAAAAATTTTTTGGACATGGCACACCACTTCTGTGGCTGTTCAAGGAGCTAAAGAAACCCACTGATGTTCATCCCTAGACTTTACTGTTTTCCCTGTCTATTTTCTCTCCTGCCTGGTCTCAAGCCACCTTGCCCTGGGCTGCAGCGGATGCTCTCGCTCGTACTACAGAAGGGTAGGAAAAGCAGGGGCTGCTGCTGGGAGGGATCCCAGGAGATGCGAAGTTCAGGCTGGGATGTATCAGAGATTGCAGCAGATATGGGGCCTCTGCAAAACTAGTCTGGGCTCTGGCTTTTTTGGGTATTTCCTAATTTTGGGGCAAGGACCTCAGAGAGGTCCCTGATGTTCCCACCTCTCACCCTTGGAGGGTTTCTCAGTGTTCCTTCCTATTCCCGTGTGCCTGGTCAAACCTTTGCCAGGCCTCCCTGAAAGGGAAATCCCATTTTTTTTCCAGCGTTACGTCAAGTAACTGGTGGAAATTGTATAATGACATTGTTTTTCTTTGCCTTGTAGCCGGAGGAGGTTGTCAGGATGGCGAACTTCAAGGGTCATGCGCTTCCAGGCAGTTTCTTCCTGCTCTTTGGGCTCTGGTGGTCTGTGAAATATCCGCTGCGATATCTTAGCCAGAAAGTACATAAGAAACCCCACAGGATTTATTGTTTCCAGCGTGTGGATGCCATCGAAGGGGGAATCAAAATCGTCTTTGCTCTAATAGGTAAGGGTTATATTTTACGAGCTATGCTGGTAAATTCTCAGCCTGTAGTGATGACTGTACTGGAGCCCTTACTCCAGAGAAACTGGTCCAGACGTGGAAGGATGAGTCCTCGATGTTCATCTTGTCTTGATGTCTAATAGAGTCTGATGTGAAAAGACCAAGTCTCGTGCCCCTTCCCGAAGCTGAGCTACCACTAATACCAGCAGGCCTGATTTTTATATCCAGTCCTTTCTCCCTAACGCAAAATCATCGGCTCTTGCTTCAGAACTGCCCCCCAGCCATGAGTAGCACCAACCACGATTGCAAATGAACCATCAGAAATGGCATGCTCTCGCGTGTCCGTGCAGGGATGCTGGCAGAGCAGTTCGTCCCGGACGGTCCGCACTTGTACATCTACAGCGGGGAGAACCACGACTGGGTGAAGCTGATGAACTGGCAGCACACCACCATGTACCTCTTCTACGGCCTCTCCGGGATGGTGGACGTCTTTACCTACGTCTCCCAGGTGGTGCCGCAGGGTCTGGATCGCCTCATGCTGTCCATGGCTGTGTTTGTTGAAGGTTGGTAGAAGGTGGTACTTAATTCGGGGGGGGATGTTGGAGGGTGCATCAGAGGGCCCAAAATTTGCCAGACTGAGATGTTGCTTTGAAAGCCCCTGAAGATAGGACACGTTGTAGGTGATATATGACCAAAGGGCAATCTGTAGCAAGATGGGAAATACAGGCATCAATAGGTCTTGGCTTTGCCTGGTTTGGGACTTCTGGGGTGACAGCGGTACACAGCAGCAGACTGAGCTTCCTCGTTATGATAAATGGCTGGTGGATGCTGCATTTATCTTACATCTACAGAGCTGTTTGCATGCCCCCTGTTCCCCCCCCGAGAGCCATTAATTGCACTGCAGACCTCGTCATCCTAATCTGTTTGCATTGCACGTGGCAAATTCGAGTGACTTATTCCGGCTTCAGCACATCACGAATATCATTTTGTCTTCAGGCTGTCTCGCAAGTCGTGAGCCAGGATTTCAGACCCCTCTTGGATCATGCAGGGAAAAGACACTAGGAAATTAAGGTCTTGCTTATGTAGAAAACCCCCTAATGAAGGCACAGCTCTTGTTATTTTCCCTTCCCCGATCCCAGTGGTTTTTGAAGCAGCAGCAGGGACAGCTCAGCAGGCACAGTTTGGCATGTAAGAAAAGGAAATCTATCATTTCCAGCTCCCAAGAAAATGGTGATGTTTAGCAATAAAAAAGCAGGACACAGCAGGAACCTGGCTGCGAGAGGAAGGTGATCTGAAGAGGTGATGGCACTGACAAGGGAAGAAAACCACCTTTCTGTTGTCCTCTGTCTTTGGTCCCCGTATTGCTCGGATCCTCCTGCCCCAAGGTTGGGTGTCTCATCCCTCCAGCATGGTGGGATGCCAGGAGACCTAGAGGGATGGTGCTACATGGAGTCCCTCGTTTTTGTGGTGACCTGTCTCAGCTTGCCAACCGGGCAGCTGATTTACTCCACCAGGGCTCTGTGATCATGGTTGGTATCACTAACGCTCCTCTAAGCGTGGTACGTATTTTGGCAGGTTGTCTCTTTTATTACCACGTCCTTCACCGCCCTATGCTGGATCAGCATATCCACTCCCTGCTGCTCATCGCCATCTTCTCAGGGGCCTGCAGCACCATGCTGGAGGTCTTCCTCCGTGACAACATCGTCCTGGAGATGTTCAGAGCTGGTGTCACCATCGTCCAAGGAACATGGTTCTGGCAGGTCAGTTCCGCCTTCTCTTGCAGAGCAGAGCACCGAGCTAGGAGAGCAACGAGAAAAGAAGAAAAGAAGCTGTACATCACGTATCAATCGCACGTCTCTGAAGGATAATTTTGCCAGGCTCACTTCATAAATAGATCATAACCCAGAATGAAAATTTACTTATCACAGGTCATCTCTGATGACTGCTCCTGC